GATTAAATTTTTGACCAAAAGTCAACTATGGGTTAAAATCAATTTTTTGTAACTTTGTTATGTAAAATTTATAATTAAATATGGCTCCTAGTCAAAATGGATCGTGTAATTATGTTTCAAGAAAGAAAGAAATTCCATCTGAAAACAAGTCTTGAATATTTGAATTTCAATATTTCTTTACTTTATAAATGCAACTTGATCCTGTATATATGTCATGTCATGACCCAAGCCATAAACAATGAACATGATCTCCAAAAGCCAAACTTATGAATATTCTATCAAAGCTAATGTTCTGGACTAGGTCTGAGTTTGGTCCAACGAGGCCCAATCTTTCGAAGTCGTTGAAGGCCAGATTCTCCACGTGCTCCTCAAGCAGGAAAACGTCACCAACTAAACTTACCTCTCGAGAACAAGTTATCCATTTCCCAGAGTTCGTAGAGGCAGTTGACACAGAACGAAGACCACATGCTGGTTTTTCCTACTTCCACGTAGGATCTTTGTTGTCACCCATTATGGGCCTTACGATCTAACCCGCAGCAGATGATTGTTGGCCAAGCGGTGGAGGTATATAATAAATATCATCCTCCACTGAAGAGTCGGTTATTCTAAACTCGTTATGTACTTGCACTCTTTTCACACTGAACGTCACTTTGTCATCGGAATATCTTACATGTATACCCTGTCCTCTTCTCCATCACCAGTGATTTTGGAGTTCACGACGTATTGTTGGTCGATAACTGAACTTCTCAACCCAATAAGATCAGCTAAGCACTCCCATATGCAAATCGAACATGATCAAAGATCAAAATTAAGGATCAAGGTTTCAAGAGATAAACATATATGCCAATGTGAAACAACCTCAAAAGGTTTGATCTCATGGAAGAAGCTCTCATCACATGAGACTTGTCAGTCAATCAACAAGAATTCAATGACAAAACCTTTGAGTCAATGATATTTGTTTAATAAATGAAATAAAATAAATATTTGGAGTATGACAATCCCCTTATGGAAAAGGTATTTATAGTGCCCTTTCTAGGCCTAAGGTTTTCTTGGAAAGGGTCTCAGCCCGTCAGGCCAATGGTGGAGCGTTGAGAGCGTTGAATCTTTGTTTCCAAGTAGGATGTGGATCATTTCATGACCTTGATTTGACTAAGTTATATTGATGTTTGAACTACATTGGATGTCTTGGTGTTTCTTATATGTTATTGGGGTTGTAGTGGCTCAAATATGTATGTTATGCATGAATCAGTTCTAACTTTAAACGGCTATGGCGTGTGTATATGGTTATGTGTGTGTTGTGTTGTTTTGTTTGCAATCACCCGTTATGGGCCTTACGATCTAACACGCAGCAGATGATTGTAGGCCAAGCGGTGGAAATACATAATAAATATATCCTCCACTGAAGGGTCGGGTATTCTAAACTCGTTATGTCCTTGCTCTCTTTTCACACTGAACCTCACTTTGTCATCGGAATATCTTACATGTACGCCCTGTCCTCTTCTCCATAACCAGTGAATTTGGAGATCACGACGTGTTGTTGGTCGCTAACTGAACTTCTTATCCCAATAAGATCAGCTAAGCACTCCCATATGCAAATCGAACATGATCAAAGATCAAAATTAAGGATTATGGTTTCAAGAGATAAACACATATGCCAAAGTGAAACAACATCAAAACGTTTGATCTCATGGAAGAAGCTCTCATCGCATGAGACATGTCAAGCCAATCAACAAGAATCCAATGACAAAACCTTTGAGTCAATGATATTTGTTTAATAAATGAAATAAAAGAAATTTTTGGAGTATGACAATCGCCTTATGGGAAAGGTATTTATAGTGCTCTTTCTAGGCCTAAGGATTTCTTGGAAAGGGTCTCAGCTCGTCAGGCCAATGGTGGAGCGTTGAATCTTTATTTTCAAGGAGGATGTGGATCATTTCATGACGTTGATTTGACTAAGTTATATTGATGTTTGAACTACATTGGATGTCTTGGTGTTTCTTCTATGTTATTAGGGCTGTAGTGGCTCGTATATGTATGTTATGCATGAATCAGTACTAACTTTGTACGGTTATGGCTTGTGTATATTGTTTTGTGTGTGTTGTGTTGTTTTGCAAGTACTTGATAACAAGCTGGTTTGAACGTGATGTTTTAACAATTAAGGCATAAAGCCAAGGCAATGCATGTTTGGTCATGACTTTTTGGTACATTTGAAGCACATGGAAATGGTGATGATAACATGACGCAAAAGACCGTGCTTATGGGTGAAGTTGAAAAAGAGCATCGTCATGAAGATGAAGAGAAATAGGATTAGGGTTAAGTTGACTTTGGTTAAGTTTGACCAAAAGTCAACTATGTTTTAAAATCAATTTTTTGTAACTTTGTAATGTAAAATTTGTAATTAGAGATGGCTCCTAGTAAAAATGGATCGTGTACTTATGTTTCAAGTAAGAAATAAATTCCCTCCAAAAATATGTCTTGAATATTTGAATTTCAATAGTTCTTTACTTTATAAATGCAACTTGATCTTGCATAAATGTCATGTCATGACCCAAGTCATAAACAATGAACATGATCTACAAAACCCAAACTTATGAATATTCTATCAAAGCTAATGTTTTGGACTAGGTCTGAGTCTGGTCCAACGAGGCCCAATCTTTCATAGTCGTTGAAGGCCAGGTTCTCCATGTGCTCCTAAAGCAGGAACACATCACCACTAAACTCACCTCTCGAGAACAAGTTATCCATTTCCTAGAGTTCATAGAGGTAGTTGACACTGAACGAAGATCACATTTTGGTTTTCTCTACTTCCACGTAGGATATTTGTAGTCACCCGTTATGCGCCTTACGATCTAACCCACAGCAGATGATTGTTGGCCAAGCGGTGGTGGTACATAATAAATATTATCCTCCACTAAAGGGCCGGGTATTCTAAACTCGTTATGTACTTGCTCTAATTTCACACTGAACCTCACTTTGTCATCGGAATATCTTACATGTGCATCCCGTCCTCTTCTCTATCACCAGTGAATTTGGAGTTCACGACGTGTCGTTGGTCGCTAACTGAACTTCTTATCCCAATAAGATCTGCTAAGCACTCCCAGATGCAAATTAAACATGATCAAAGATCAAACTTAAGAATTAAGGTTTCAAGAGATAAACACATATGCCAATGTGAAACAACCTCAAAAGGTTTGATCTCATGGAAGAAGCTCTTATCACATGAGACTTGTCAGGCCAATCAACAAGAATCCAATGACAAAACCTTTGAGTCAATGATATTTGTTTAATAAATGAAATAAAAGAAATTTTTGGAGTATGACAATCCCCTTATGAGAAAGGTATTTATAGTAACCTTTCTAGGCTTAAGGTTTTCTTGGAAAGGGTCACAGCCTATCAGGCCAATGGTGGAGCATTTAATCTTTATTTACGAAAAAGAGAAAATGATGGGGAAAAATAGAATAAAAGCGATACATAATTCAAGTATAGGATTGCATACCACTTTCAAATATATTGACAGGGAGATCCTTCTGAGAATGGTTGATAGCAAGGTTTAGAACATAAACCGAACTTTCGGTGATATCCACCAACTATTGTTGTATAGTTTCAAATGGAATAAGGAATTAAAATAAAATTGCGAGAATTTCAAACGAATAAAAGCACAAAAATGAAAAGTACATGTCTAAGTGTAAAACTAAATTAGGTTTGTTTCATCAACCTGCGGAAAGTAAACTGGAAAAAAGCATTAAAAAAAAGTTGATTCAACACACTAATGACCTATTTAAGATATGCCATGACCTATTCCCAGCACTATTTGAAGGCTTGATGAGATCTCACTTGAAATGAATACAACCTGTTACTAATGGTGAAGATATTTATTGTTCCTCCAGTTTCAAGCATGGGAACTTGTTCCTCAAGTTTCGTACACGTGAACTTGTTATTATTTACAATTTAGCAAGATATCCCAACTTTTCACCTGACGGGATCTCACTTGTAATGAGTCCAGCCTGTTACTAATGGTGAAGACATCTACGGTTCCTCCATTTTCGGTCACAGAAATTTGTTCCTCCAGTTTAAGGCACATTAACTTATTTTGAAGTGCCTTTGACTTACTTTGTTTCACCCTTTGGTGTGCCTATTAGCATATGCAGTGTATCCTATGTGCTAGGTCTTTAAACAGCTGTGTGAGTCTCCCCTAACTAAATCCTACGAAGAGCTCTTGTTCCATATTTTAAGGCAATTCAAATTTTTCAAAAGGCTATCTATGATCAGCTATCAAGTCTTTGTTTCCAACATTGTCCCAATCCAATTGGCTCAAATCTAAATCTTTAAAATTCACTGTAAATATTCACTGTTATATCTAACGATTTCAATAGACTTGGGGCTTTCACTACTCCTTTCTATCTGAATATCTAACGATTTCAGCCATTTTTTTCACTTAAACCCTCATGGTGCACAGAGCATAAAGGGCTAAAATGATGGATGAAAAGCCAGAAATAACAGAAAATAAGATGGGTCTAACTGACCCAACCAAATTTCAATCATTCTCTCAATTCTCTCTTTATACTCTGGCAATTTCAACTCTTTCTATTTTCCCTAGTTTACAATTAATAAGCTATTACTTGAGCTTAATATATTGAATTTATATTTTGCAACATATGACATCGACTTTTAAGTTTATGAATTATGGTATTTTATGTTTAATCATGACATATATGTTACTACTTCATTATATTCTACAGGTTTTTTTTTCATATACATTTTAAATTTAATCTTAGTAACTATGTTCCCACTATATTCTCAAAGAGATTTATGCTTTGACACACCATCCCCGCTAATAGCATTTAGATTATTAGACAACAATTCATGTTGGTTGTTGAGTGTCCAACAAAACTCTCACCTTTTATCTAGATTTGTGAAGAAGAATGGAAGGGGAACCAAATTCAATTATTTGTTGAATTACAGAGATTTCTTATATGAAAAATGAAAAAGGACAATAGCAGTTATAAAAGCCTAACCTCAATAGTATACCTTGATCGAACAAAGATAAATTGTGGAATCCCATCTATGACATGCAACTTTGAAGTTGCAACAGCAAGCACCAGCAATAACACAAAATTAATCATCTCAGCCACGAGAAGGTAAAATGACAACCAAAAAATTGGGCAAAATGCATAGAAACATAACAGTATTCAGTGTCACACTGCTACATTCTCTATTTTGGATATCTAAACAGAACTAAAGATTGATGTTTTTTCCCTCTTAACCGCTCGATTATTAGGGGAAGGAGACTCTGGTAATCTAAAGTTTGGACATGAAGTAAAATCAGACAAGATTGTTCTAGTCAAAATTTAATTCAAAACGATGTCCTTAGCGAGAGTTTATTAACCACTTAGATGCATGGTTTGGAATTGCGGTTCACAACCACAATTTTTTTTCTAATAATGTAAAGGTTTTTGTGATTTCAACAACTACGCTGCAAAAACAATGGATGTTGCACCAGTCACGTTTATCAAAAGTATCAAGAATCCCAGCATTGTCGCATAATAATGAATGGAGATGAAAGAAAATAAGGGGTGTACCGGGGGTCCAAGATTAGGGGGGACAATTATTCTTCTCTTTCCACCAGCTTTCATGTCTCTAATTCCTTCTTCAAATCCTACAAAAGAAAATATGAAAAAAGATATCAAATCCTACAAAAGAAAATGTGATGAAAGATATAAAAGCCGACAAATAATTAATGCTTTGTCATGCAATCCACAAGGGAACTGGTAATACTAAATCTATTTATTTACCAGGAACCAATGCGTTGTTACCCATGCGAATTTTGGCAGGAAAACGTTGCAAATAAGTACTTTCAATACGGCGGCCAGATTCGTCATAGCCAACATAGTGAAATGTGACCTGCAAGGCATGATATGTGTGTTAAAATCATATTTTTGAGATAACTTCAAAGCTATAAAACTGGCCACACTTCCAATTAATCAAATCACATGATATGCAAACATGAAATTTTTATACATTGACAAGAAATTGATAAACGAGATGCCAAAGTAACTAAGAGGAAAAGTCTTCAAGACATTTTTAAAGGTTTCAATATTAAATAAGATAAGGTCTTAATATGTTTATAAGTGGGAACGGTCTTCACTTTCCAAGACAGTTTTGTAAGGGTTGAATCAGACTCAGCCAGCTCAAATTCTAAGATGGTATCTAAGTCTATAGAAAATTCATTGGACCAACTGCTATCAGGTCACTGCTACCGAACCTGAATATAAGTTTATATAGGTGAAAGCAGTCCTCACCTTATATACTTGTTTTGTAAACTCAACCCAAATTCTAAGATTATTGTAGGCAATCTAACTCCTTGCTCTAAATTTTATAAAATTATGCTTTCTCTCCAATTAAATATCAGTTTCCAGTTTCTCTCATCTCAACAAACTCAAGCTATTTAAAGTAGTAGCCCATTGCAAAATACTACATAGAGACAATTCTAGTTCTCGTGCTCACACTGCTTAATATTTGTGCTTAATATTTGTGCTTAATATTTGAGCGAACTTATTCTCCAAACCAATTAAAATAAAATTAAGAAGAAAAAATTAGTCGATTGGAAAGAATATAAAAGAAAAACCTGCTCACCATCCTTTGGACAATCACCTGTACCAACTTCAAAATCTCGGTATATTAGCCCCGAATCACATTTTATATAGTCATCTGGTGCTATCACTTTAACTTCAAAACCTGAAAATTGTATTAATGAACCAGAACATCATATCCGTATTAGGCTCCTAACTTTTCCACACTAAATTTCAATTAAAAAACACAAATGTGACACAATAGAGAAATCAAAGGGTAAAAAGGGAACATAAATTTTCTTACACAAATCAGAAAAAAACTAAACCATGCATGAAAAAACAATGAACATTACCTTCTCTAATAAAATTTGGGAAGCCATCTGGTACATTGTTTTGTTTTTGTATATTCCTATTTTGTTGTAACACACGTTTTTCATTATACGGATTCATATTTTTCGTCTTCGCATCAGAAGATAAAAGTTGGAAAAACAACAGCCGCGTGACCAAAGCAGAAAGCACAAACTTCCTCCTTAATACAATCTCAGGATGTAATGTGGAACTACTCTGCACTCTATCCATACAAACAAAAGAGTAGCGCACACCTTGGCTGGCCAAGAAGGGAAACACTTGACAATTTATTCACAAAGATTTGCAATGTATTAACAAAGATTCACAATGTATTCACAAAGAAATCATAAAGAAAAAACTGAAAACAACGATGAAAAGAGTAGCGCACACCTTGGCAGGCCAAGAGTGTTTACAAAATCGCCTAAACGCAAGTGATTAGGGTCAGCGGCGGAGGAGAAAGGGATTTGGGGAATTCGAATTTGATAAGAACAAAAATATAAAACAACTGTCAACTTATGCTTACATTAGGATTATTATCCATTTCTATGAACAGTTGCATCTTTCCATATATTTAGTTGCTAGCTTCCTGCCTTATGCTTTCCTTGGCACTTTAAACCATCATTCTTCGGATCAACTACCATTCAAAGATCAACAAATCATCATATTTAGCATAAAATTCAATCTTGATACTTACTCAACCAAATTCCAATACTCATTTAGTCACCTATTTCGTGAGGAGACAGACTCTTAGTGTGCATAGGGGATTGAGGCAGAACTCCATTTGAAGGAGGCAAGCCAATTAGTCCACAAAGCAATGTCTTAAATTTTGATTCAAGGAAAAGCCTTAGTTCTGTTCATATCATTAATGTGAGTATGCTTTACAGCACTCACACACCCTGCAAACCAACCGCATACTCTAGACCCCAACGGTAACAAAGTGTCAATTAAACAACGCTATATAAGAGAGATACGTGTGTATATATATATATATATATATATATATATATATATATATATATATATATATATATATATATATATATATATATATATATATATATATATATATATATATATATATATATATATATATATATATATATATATATATATATATATATATATATATATATATATATATATATATATATATATATATACCATGAATACTAGCAACAATATGTCATAGTGATATGCAAAAGGTTTCCTGAGATTGAATTCCTTTTGTTGTGCCAATTGGGATGTAACACTGTGGTCAAAGAAGTAAAGCCCTGCTATCATTATGGCAGGAACAAAAGCTTGAAAAATGTTTGGAGAAACCTTGCCGATATCCTGCAGTAGAAATCATGTCATTAAATCCCAAAACTACTAAAAGCAAGAAATGGTGTAAATTGACTTCATGCAAGATGGTTTTACTTTGATTACTGTCCAGTGATGTAACGACGCAGATTCCAAAGTCTGTTGTGTGGGTCACCAAAATAAGTGAGCCCACTTAATCTTAATATTATTACTATTATTAAAAGAGAAGAAAAAAAAATGGGGAATTAGCTTTGTGGGCCAAAGCCCATGAAATGGTTAAAGGGTTTTAACCCTTGTGTTGCAACGACAGAGACTCGACAGACAGAGAAAACCCCTTGTGTTGCAACGTGAGCGACTCTACAGACAGAGAGAAGAATATCAAAGAGTGTCTCTTCATTGTTGTGTCGTAGAACCCGTTGAGGGGTTAATTGATTTGATATCCACCTTGTACGGTGAAGATTATATTTGCTCTGTTGATCCCTGGTGGTTCCAGGAGAACTTGTGGTGTACCCATTAATTTATTAGTGGAAGATTTACTGGCTTGGTCCCGTGGGTTGTTTTCCCTTTAAGGGTTTTTTCCCACGTTAATAATTCTGGTGTCTCCTTATTTTATTTGCTCTATTTTGTGCTTATTATTGTTGTCTGAGCAATTTTGTTTGGAGCTTATTTTTAATTGCACGCAGGGGAAAAGTTGATCCAGCAGCTTCCGCATTTTATTACTATCTTCTATATTTGTTTTCTTTCCCAACAGTGGTATCAGAGCTCCTTGGTTGGAGTTCTGTTTGGTGCTATTAAAATGGGTGAAGGTGATATGGCTGGTACTATGCTGAAATTGGATTCTTCCAATTATTCTATTTGGAAATCCCGGATGGAAGACTTATTGTTCTGTAAGGACTTGTATGATCCCATTGACGGAGACGGTACTAAGCCAGAGGATAAATCTGTTGCAGAATGGACAAAGGCAAACAGAAAAACAATTGGCATGATCAGGCAATGGATAGATCAGAGCATTTATCATCATGTGTCTAGTGAGACTAGTGCCCACAGTCTGTGGAAGAAATTGAAGGACATGTTTGAGTCCAAGAATGCACAGAACAAGGTATTTTTGTTTCGGAGACTGGTTAATCTGAAGTACAGAGATGGTTCTTCAGTGGCAGAGCATATGAGCAGTTTTCAGAATCTTGTGAATCAGCTGACTACTATTGAGATTAAACTTCCTGATGAGCTACTTGCTTTGTTGTTGCTTAGCTCATTGCCAGACAGTTAGGAAACATTGGTGGTATCTCTGAGCAATTCCACTAATGGCAATATGACTTTTGATACTGTGAAAGAAGCCCTATTGAATGAAGAAATCAGGAGGAAGGGAAACAATATGGCTAGTTCATCGACTCACACAGAAGCCTTGGTTGTTGAGTCACGGGGGAGAAGCCAACATAGAACCTCTCATAAATCTAATGATAGAAGCAAGTCAAGAGGACAGTCCAGGAAAGACATCAGGTGCTATCATTGCAACAAAGCAAGTCATATGATAAGAGAATGCAGGTTGCTTAAGAGGGAGAAATCAAGGGAAATAGGCAATGATAATAAAGAAGATAAAGACACAACTGCAGTTGTATCTGATGGTGAAGTTGTTGTTGTTTATGAAGATGATTCAGTTAATCTCGCATGCCAAGATTATGAATGGGTTATTGATTCTGCTGCCTCATATTCCTCATCGTGAGTATTTTTCATCCTATACTGCTGGAGATTTTGGGCAGGTAAAGATGGGTAATCAAGGGGTAAGCAAGGTTGCTGGCATTGGAGATATCTGGGTAGAAACTAATGTTGGATGCAAGCTACACTTGAAGAACGTCAGGCATATTCCTGATATGCGCCTCAGCTTGATTTCAGTACAGGTACTTGATGATGATGGTTATCATAATTCCTTTGGCGATGGTAAATGGAAGTGCACCAAGGGTACTTTGGTGGTAGCAAAGGGAGTGAAGAAAAACACCCTTTACTGGACTTCTACAAAATTGTGTGCCCCTCAAGTGAATGCAAGTGAGGATTGTTCTACAGAGCTATGGCATAAGCGGCTCGGTCACTTGAGTGAGAAGGAACTAGACACTCTTGCAAGGAAAAATCTGCTTCCGGTGAAAGGTACATCTCTCAAAACTTGCTCTGATTGTATTATTGGTAAACAACATAGAGTTTCTTTCCGCACTCACCCTCCTCACAGGAGGTCACATATCTTGGATTTAGTTCACACTGATGTTTGCTCTATGGATGTTAAATCCCTTAGTGGCTATTCTTATTTTGTGACATTTATTGACGATCACTCGAGAAAAGTGTGGGCTTTTGTTTTGAAATCCAAAGATCAGGTACTTGATATGTTCAAACACTTCCATGCAAGTGTGGAAAGAGAAACAGGAAAAATGTTGAAGTGTGTCAGAGCAGATAATGGTGGTGAATACAGGGGGCCATTTGAGCATTATTGCAGGGAACATGGAATCAGGCTTGAGAAGACCGTTCCAAAGACTCCACAGCACAACGGAGTTGCAGAAAGAATGAACCGCACAATTAATGACAGAATCAGATGCATGCTCTCTCATGCAAAATTGTCTAAATCATTCTGGGGTGAAGCGTTGAGAACTGCAGTAGATTTGATCAACCTTTCTCCTTCAATTCCTCTTGATGGTGATATTCCAGAGAGGGTGTGGCGAGGGAAAGATGTCTCATATAATCACTTGAGAGTGTTTGGCTGCAAGGCATTTGTTCATATTCCCAGAGATGAGAGGTCCAAGCTTGATGGTAAATCAAAACAGTGTGTCTTCTTGGGTTATGGTCGTGAAGACTTTGGTTACAGGTTTTGGGATCCGGTTAACAGGAAAGTCCTTAGAAGTCGAGATGCTATTTTTGTTGAAGACCAAACCATCGAAGATATTGACAAGAATGAAAAGCAGAAACAGGTTATCCACAGGTACATTGATGTTGATCCAGAGCCTCCTACCATAGTCAATAATAATGGGGGAGATGTGAATGTAGATGTGGACAATGCAGGTGATGTTCCTGAGCCCCAAGTTGATGAAGAAATTGAATAAATTCCACCAGAGCAACCTCCTGAGCCAGTGAGAAGATCCACCAGAGAGTACCATCCTTCACAGAGATATCCTCCTCATGAATATGTGATGCTTACTGATGGGGGAGAGCCACAAAGCTTTGAAGAAGCTAGGTCACATGAAGAGAAAGACAAGGGGTACAAAGCCATGCAAGAAGAGATGAAATCCTTACATGAGAACCACACATTTGAGCTAGTGAAGCTACCTAATGCTAAGAGAGCACTCAAGCATAAGTGGGTGTTTAAATTGAAGTCAGAAGAAAATAGCTCACATCCAAGGTACAAGGCAAGGTTGGTTGTGAAAGGATTCAGTCAGAAGAAAGGTATAGATTTTGAAGAAATTTTTTCACCTGTGGTCAAGATGTCTTCAATCCGAGTTGTACTTGGTTTGGCAGCCAGTTTGAATTTAGAGGTTGAGCAACTTGATGTGAAGACCGCATTTCTCCATGGTGATTTGGAGGAAGAAATTTACATGGAGCAGCCTGATGGTTTTGCTGTTAAAGGTAAAGAGAGGCTTGTCTGCAGATTGAAGAAGAGCTTGTATGGTCTTAAACAAGCTCCAAGGCAATGGTACAAGAAATTTGATTCTTTCATGGTGGATCATGGGTATGCAAAAACTTCTTCTGATCATTGTGTGTTTGTGAAGAAATTTCCTAGTGAGAAATTTATTATCCTTTTGCTTTATGTCGATGACATGTTGATTGTTGGTCATGACATCAAAGAGATTGAGCATTTGAAAAGAGAGTTGAGCAAGTCCTTTGCAATGAAGGATTTAGGCCCTGCAAAGCAAATCCTTGGCATGAGAATTACACGTGACAGGAAGAATTGCAAATTG